AAATAATTTCTTCTGCATAATTAAGGAAATTTAGCAACCTGATGTCTGTTGCCATAGTTAATGGTTTCAACAGCATCTATGAATACACCATCAGATTCTGTCATCCAAGATTTTCTACAGTAAGAATCCGGTATCATGGCCCAAGGCTAACTGTGCACAAGTTGTCCTGGGGGACTGATATCAGCACTGTCCATAATTTACAGAAATGTAGGAAAAAAAAAAAAAGGAATTCTTTAACGTGATGGGAATGTGCAGAACTATCTTCAGGAACATCATATGCTGAAGCCATTAGTCTTTGATTCAACTGCATCAGTAAGCTGTAAGCATTTGTGGTTCTCAATCTGCATTTTGTTCATGACAAGACAAGAAAGAAACTCTTAGCAATTATTAAGAGATAATATTTGGTATGTTGCTTTGCCTACTAACATGCAGTAATGGAAAATAAAGAACTGATATAACAGATAACAATCAAGGGAAAAAATTTTCAGACCTCAATGAGTTAAGCTGCTTTCAAACTCTCGTGATCCAATGTAGACATAAGCGACATGACTTATTTTAGGCCAATCTTCACCAATCTCCTTCTTGCACCTCTCTTCCAGAGTTGGACACTCTAGAATAGACAAATGCTGAAGGGAACCAAGAGACTGCAGTCCACTAGGGAGAGAAGTTAAATTGTCACAATCTGATAATGCCAAAGATCTGAGTGAGGTAAGCTCTGATACCCATTCTGGCAAAGCCATCAGACCAGGGCAGCTACGAATTTCTAGATTCTGCATTAAAGTGGCACATCGTAACCCCTCAGGAAGACATTTCAGCTCTGGACAGTTCAAAACTGATAAGCTCTTAAGATTGGACAGATGTTGGAAACTGTCAGGTAAAGAAGCTAAATTTGGACAGTACATTATAGTCAAGTGCTCAAGGGCTGTTAGAAATTCCAGTTCTACTGGCAAGGACGTGAGTTTACTGCAGTTCTCTATTGACAATGATCGAAGAGAGTGCAGGCCTTGTATATCCTCTGGTAAGGAAATAAGACTATGGCATTCAATTATCTCCAAAGACTCCAAGGTGGTGAGGTTTTGCAATCCTCGAGGTAATGAATATAGCTCTTCACACCAGCGTATCACTAGTGATCTCAGATTGACAAGTACTCCTAAACTTGGAGGGATTGAGAGAAGCTTTGGGCAAGAGCTGATCTTGAGAGACATGAGAAGAGCATTGTTTTTGAGCAAATTTTCCAAGCGGACCAATTGCTCTGCAAAATCATCAATCACAAGGATGTTTAGGGAAGTTAGGTCAGATGCTGACTGTAGTACCATCTCATTGCAGCTGCGTAGCTCCAGATGTTGAAGAGATGGGAAGCATGGCATGTTTTGCAACCTGAAACATTTGCTGAGTGTTAGTTTCACCAAAGAAGGGAATTCTTCTTTCTTTTTGAAACTCCACCAGAACTCTAAAGAAGGGAAATCCATGAGTGTTAGCTCTTTCAATGATGGAAACAGTGTCCCAGTGCCATCACCATAGAATTCTCTTCCAATGTTCTTCACTGCATTCATCCCTTGTAAATAGAGGACCATAAGGAAGGGAAGTTGACCCAACACAGGGAGATATTCACATCTCCTGCAGTTAACCAACACGAGTTCAGTTATATTTGGAAGTTTGGAAATACTCATCCATCCAGGCAAACGGATTCCTACAAACCCTCTTATAGACAACTTTTTCAGATACCCGTGTGGTTGAAGGTGATCGAGCACTTTCTGTTGCATGCCATCATTGGCAAAATTCCCATTTAGACCATTAAAAACACTTCCCCAACATAGTTTCAATGACTGAATGTTTCGCTTTGCTGCCAAGTCAGCTTTCATTGCATATGTTGCATCTCTCACATTCTCTAATCCTCTAATCTGAAGCTCCCCACCAAGGTTTAAATTTTGCAGCTGATTCAAGTGTTGACCTACTTCCTTTCCAACAATAAACATCGACAACGTCTGAAGATACAGAAGTCTTCCTATACAAGCTGGCATTTTGGTTAATCTCTCACAGCCATCTAGTATCAAATGCCTCAGTTTTTTCATTTGGGCCATGCCACTTGGTAACTCGATGAGATCATAGCAACCAGAAAGGTTCAACACTTGTAAATTGCGAAGACTGCAAACACTTTCAGGCAATTTCTCTATATGGGTGTTGGAGATGTCAAAATATCTCAAAAGTATGAAGGACGAAATTGAATCCTGCAGCTTTTTGATCCCACTACCGCTTATATCAAGGACCCGCAGATACCTAAAACTTGAAAATATTTTAGATGGGAGTTCGCCAAGGTCACCTTTTGGGAACAATAAGATGAGGGTTCGTAATTTTGTTGCTGCATATAAAACATCTGGAATTGTAACGAATCTGAAATTACAAACCACTGATGAATGGCGAGTTTGGCATAAATCTTCTCTTATATTATCATGCTCCAGCATATTGAATTCGTTTCCCACTATTGATTGTGCAAGATCATGAATGAGATCATGCATTTTACACTCAATTATATTGCCATTTTCACTCTTTTGAATATCTTGAAAGAAAAACATCCACACCAAATCATCAAAGTATTCATTTCCAATAAATTCCATTGACTTTCTTCCTTCTGGCGATTGAATGAGACCACCTGCAATCCAAAGCTGGATTAACTTCTCCTTCTTGATTATGTAGTTCTTCGGAAATATTGAGCAATATGCAAAGCAGGCTTTTAGATGGGATGGCATATGACTGTAACTCAATCTTAGGGCAGGTAAAATTCCATTTTCGCTTTGAGATACATTCCAAAGGTCACTCTCCTGGACAACCAACCAATCTCTTTCTTCTCTTTTGAACCGCATTAGGCTTCCTAGAGTCTTTGCAGCTAAAGGGACACCTCTACACTTCTTCACAATTTGCCTACCAATTGGAATCAAGTTCTGGTGCTCTGCTTCATTATTGCCAAAAGCTCGTTGCTTGAACAAAGCCCAGCAATCATTATCAGATAGACCTTCTAACTGATATGTGTAAGTAGATCCCATCATCAGTGCCACCTTTTTACTTCGTGTAGTGACAATAATTCTACTTCCCTCCACACCACTTCTCAGTGACATTCTTAACTTCTCCCATTCACTGTCATCTTCATTCCACACATCGTCCAATACAAGTAAGTATCTCTTCCCAAATAGTAGTTCTTGTAGTCGAAACTGCAATAAATCCATCCCAAAGATGTCACATTTATTTTTGCTGGCAGATTCTATGATCGAGATCATGATTTTTCCTACATCAAAATCATCACTGACACAGACCCAGATCCTCAAATCAAAATGTGCCGCTACTCGGCCGTTATTATAGAGTAACTGAGTAAGAGTTGTTTTACCAAGACCACCTAAACCAACAATGGAGACAACAGAGATATCACCCTTAGTAAAACTATTGCTTGACAGTAATATGTTTATTATCCTATCTTTATCCTCTTCTCTCCCAAAAACTTCAGATTCAATTATAAAGGAGCCAGTTTGCCTTGCCCTTCGTCTCCTGCTAGCTCCATTAGTGACCATCTCTCTTAAATTGAAACTAGACTTCTCTTCTGCTAACACTTCTAATGCCTCCTTGATATGCTTTAATCTAGTTGACAAATCCATACAACCTGCTACTCGTGCCAGGGAGGGAATGACAGAGCGTACCTGTTCAGCAAAGCCACCCTGATTCCTGGATTGCATAGCTTCCAAATAGAACTCATCAAGCAAGTCTTCCATCTCGTAAGCAACTTCCTTGAGCTCTGTCAGCCAAATTCTAAGAGCTCTATCGGCCAGCTGTCGCTCTTCTGCATCTTCAAGCACGGCTTGTATTACATATAGAGATTTTTGAAGCTTCTTAACCTCCTTCTTGAGGCCAAGTATATTCGCAATCTCTGGTAATAAGCGACTGGCCAACTTGTCAAAGACCACCTGTAGCAGAGGAGACACAATTATTTCTGCCATTTGCAGGAGCAAGTAGAAAAAAGAGGTAGGTTAAAATTGTAAGAGAGAAATGTTTTCTCCTCCAAGTCCAAGAAGCAGAGCCTCCTCCAGGTTCTCAGACTATAATTTATGACGATGGCTCCTGTTTGGTGCTCTCAACAGAACGAAACATTTCTGTCGTTTTACTTGCTACTACTATGTTTACTTTTCATGTGGCTGGAGGAAAGCGGAGACTTCAGAAGACCTTTCGTTTTTTATCTATGTAAGACGGTATTTCTTTCTTGGGTGCTTCCAGGTAATTATGGTGGATTAAGACGTTAACCTCCATCTTTACATTTCCTTCATCTGTAGTCAAAAGAAGAATATAAAAGGCACACGGAGTAAATAAACCACCAAACAAATTGAAAAGGATTTAAAGAAGAAAAAACGAAACGAATTAGGAAGAACCCCTTCTTTTTTAATCAGTACTCCATTTATTAGCCTTCAAAGTAAATGATTTAAGGTAATTAAAATGTCACCTAAATACATCTGCATCGGTGAACGTTGGATTTGGATAAAGCCTAGAGGTGAATCCAGAGAGCAGACAAAAGCGTTATCCTCTCCAATACCTTCCCTTTCCAGTTGCTACAGCAACAGGGAAAAATCCGAACGACGGAGGACTAAAGGATAGGATTTAGGAGTTGTTGAAAACTGAGGCTGTCTCTGTCAGACAACCAGAATACTATAGAGTATATGGACCAACGGATGCGCGACAGCTGCATGACGAACTGTTATTGCAAGCATCGATGGTGCAAGAAAATAAACTTAAGAGAAAAATGATCACTCTCTGCCTGTCAGGATGAGCTTGAAAATGGGTGATGAAGAGGTCCATAAGTTGTGGTATTTTACAAGACTAAATTAGTAATAGCACATTCTTTTGCGCCGTATTAGCTTAGAGTGCTACGAATATGCCAATTTACCTTTGAAACATCTGCTGGAATTGATAATCGTGTCTGCGCATAACGGAAAGTACAATTCGATTTTCTTTCTCCAATCCAGTAAACATAGAAGAGACCTGTTCAACCATCCCAAATTCTGAGCCAAACGTCCAAGTTGAGGGAGAAAACAACAAAAGAACATGAACTTACAAGAATGAGGTAAAGGCATTTCAAATGCTTGGACAAGTAACAAATCGCCCTTGATTTCGATAACAATGCCTAAGTACAGGGTATAGACTATGGATCCACAACAAACCCCCACCAAACACCAATCTATTTTTGGGGAATGGGGGAGAGGGGAGGAATGTAAACTGCTCCTGAAAAATAACAAATTAAATCCCCCCCAAAACACCAAAGCACCGGAACTCTACAAGAATTTGTTCTGTAAGAATATTCACGCTACAAAATTCTAGAAACAAAAAGTCACAAATCTTCTGTTTCTTTGTCACCGCCAGATGAATATCTGTAGGGCCTGCTATATGACGGTTGCAGAAAATCAGCTCAGGAAAGTTGAACTAATGAACCACGAGCACCAAATATGAGCAGGACTGTCACGGGAAAATAGCTACAATCAGAAACTATTCAGCATAAGGTTGTTTAGATATTTTACTAAAATCAAAGGCAAAACATATGATTCCTATAAGCTTCAAAACAAAGAAACAGCTTGAGAGATAACTGATCTCCACTTGTTTTCAATTCATTAGTTTCACTCCCTCTCTCTTTGCCATCTATTCATGAGTGTTTCTGTTAACTTTCTTTTCAGGCAGACCAATCTTTCTGATAACCAAAGTCAAACTTACAAATACAGAGAATTTAAATCAAAAGCAGAATTAAATCTCATACCCCCTTATGCACTCAGCATCAAAAAAATGTAGAGATGAGCTTTGCATCACTTAATAGGTAAAGTAACCTCTAGGTTCTTCTGAAGTAGCCAGCCTTTGGGATAAACAAGATTGCCAGTATCTAAATGGAGATGCCAGTTCATAATCCTTGAACAACCAGGTGGTGCACCTTCCATTTGACTTTCATCTTCCACCACTTGCTCTATAAATGTAGTTTCCTGCATAAAGGAAATAGTGACCAAAGCCAAGAATCGTTCTATGACATTTCCCGAGATATTACACAATAGCTTCAACGTGAAAATACAAAATACAGCAGTAAAATACATACTTGGAAACCCTCCTTCACTGTGTCCAACTGTCGAGTTGGGTTTAAGAATGGGCGTCCCCATCTCTTTGGGTCCCACAAGATGGTGCTGTTGAAAGCAAATCCTGACATATCAACATGAAACCTACGAAGTCTTTTACTTTTCACATTTGTGTGCCATCCAATTACTTGACTTCCATTGCATACTGGACCTTCCAGAATTGCCTTGTTTTTGCTTTGTGCAAGCATGGCAACAGGCCAAGTTCCAAAACGGCTACACCAGATGAAGATAAGTATTATAAACTTGCATATGCTAGCAAGATTAGAAGAAGATAGACCAATTTTCACAGTAATTATTACTCCACACCATTGAAGAACTCTTTACAGACTCTAACCTATTGAAGAACAAGACAAACTTGGACTTCAATTAGAAGCAAACTATCACTGACAAGTCATATCATTCCGATCTAAGAAAAATCAACGTAAACAATTATGAACTTCCTCATTTATCTTTTGAACGGGGGAAACTCTTAACAAGCAGCTAACAGTTTCCACTTAATTTCTCATTCGAATCTCATTGCAAACCGATGAAATGACATTTTATAGCAACCAATTCTACAATAAACAGAAGATTGAGGAAAGGCTTAAAACATAGGACAATCCCTGCTATATGCGTTGCTACTTGTATGAAAATGAAACTAGATCCAGTTACTCAAATTATAAATAGGTAACAGGCTGATTTGATCCACCAACAAAAAGTATCAATGCATTAGGTAATGGCAATAAATTTAAGATGGCGAGTGAGCAACCACAAGTAAATCACTTAAATTTTCCATAAACATCCCTTTACCACTGACCCCATCTCTAACCAACTTCCCCAAAACAAAATGTTAACAAAAACATTCAACAATTATTTAACATCCCAACATATGCTTTACAAAAACCAACTTTTATCCAAATTAGTAGACCTCATTAACTCTCTTAAAAGCAACATTCCCAAAATAAATAAGATCAAATTTAAATTACCTAATAGTTCTCAAGCTTTCGAACAACTCCAGCGAGTAGACATTGTCGTCGTCGGCGAAATACACGATCCCATCGAGCTTATGCCGTTCGATTTGTTCCAAAGCGGCGTTTCTTTGATGAACCCCTCGGTCCTTCACGTTACTAGAATTGCGTGTGCACACCACGTGCCTATACATAACTCCCGTTTTCCTCAAAATCTCGGCCGTCTCAAAAGACGCCGTTTTCTCCTCAACCACAATCCAAACCAGCGGAGGCTTCACTAACCTCAAAACTTGCCCTAACCTGTTCAGGAAATACGCTTGGAATCCCCGATTATACGTCGGCGTAACGACGATTAACTGCTTTAACGGCTCGATTAAATCGGCGGTAATTTCCTTGTCTTCTTGCAACCTCGTATTAACGCCCAACGAAACGGAAGTAACAATCTGGTCGTCCAGTTGGAGGTTCACATGTGGAGGCTTAAGTTCGGGGAAAGGGAAATCCTTAGCTTGGATATCGGTATCGATGTGTCCAAACGGAGTAATTCCAAAAAGAAACCCTATTAGGAAAAAGAAGATACACCTGCAAAAAGATCGCCGCCATCCTTTGCGGTACAGTAAATTTACCGCGTTGAATAACAACCGCAAATGCACTGACGATGAAGACGATGAGAAATGTTTACTGTTTCCATTAGGAAAAAACTTCTGAGACGGAGAAGAGAATCCGGCGCCGTTCTGGTACGAACGGTCGTGATATGCTGGTGAGAGAGTTCGACGGATCGAAGCCATCTGATTGGTTGACAAAAATTAAAAAAACAAAGGAAATTACATAATCGGATCTTTACGAAAGGGGGAGGCCTGAGATCTAGTGAAGCAAGAGCTGGAGCTGAGACTTTCTTTTTTTTTTTCTTTTGAGCGCGGAGGGGCTCTTCGTCTTCCGGGGTGGACTTGATTTTTTTTTTTTTTTTATTTATTTATTTTAAAGTTACCCGTTGTGCGGGCAAATGGAAATAGACACGTGGCCAATGAGGGTGTGGAAATGCATGCTGGCTTCTGTTGTGGTTGTTGTCGGCTGAGGTGGCAAATTTTGCTTGTTTTGAATTTTTGCAAATCATTTGGTAATCTTTCCACATAAATCAAATGTAATTATTTGAATCCAAGTGTACTTACCAATGACAACCTACGGCTCCTTCGTTTGCTCTCATTCTTGAATTTGAGACCCAAAAAGATAATTGAATTTAGTTGATGATGTAGAAGTAGAATTATAAATAAATGTTGAGATTGACCAAAAACTGGCCAATCTCAATGGTTTACTTTAATTTGTTTAACATTTAGTTTTTGGTTTTTTAGGGAAAAAATGCTAATAATAAGTTTTTGTAAGTAGCAAAGATTTATAATATATAAATGCCTATTCATTATAACTTGGGTTTGATTGTAAATCATAAACAATGACGAATTTAAAATTTTATATAAAAAGTGATCAAAAAGTAATTATAAAAATAATTATATATTATATACATCAAATTTTATAACTATAATAATAAAGATAATTAAAAATTGAAGAGTGACGTTCATCGTCACCCGTTACTCCCTTAATTTCGCCCTTGATCATTGTTGAAGAAATCCATGGAATATGCTTCTTTTCAAGTTTTGAAAAAAACCACCTCTTTTAAAATTGGGCTCTTATTGAACCTAAAAATGGCACCTAGTGACCTGCCACCAAGAGCCAACAGTATTGATGATTAGGATTGAGCTTGAACTGATCAATTTCTTGCACCTTTTAACAAACTACATTGCTTGCACATGGCATAGAAAATGGGGATGATGACAAGGGGGAGAAAGGTGGTTTGAAATTGCAAATTTGCTTGTTCCTCGGGTATTTTCCATTGAGTTCCACCATGTGGTGGCTCATGTTTACCAATTGCAGCATGGGCTTGGAAGTTCGGATAAGACATGGTCATCCATACCATGATTTCGTTTTCTTCCCTCAATCCAAAACATATGCTTAGAACAATCAATTAAGTCTTCAAGATAAGTACAAAGCAACTAGTTTGTGTTTCATCAATAAATACGGATAACTCTATATTGATGCCTATGGACAATTACACATACAATTAACTCCTTTTAAAAATATACCAGAAATCAACACGAACTTTTTATTCAAACCAAATGTAAAATCTAGCCTAATATTGTAAGAGCATGAAGACTAGGGGACAACAAGTAGCATGAATTACCATTTAACAAACTCTGGTTTAGATAGCGAAAACCCATTACAAGTAACAATGAAAGCTTCTTTCTTTCTTGGGAAGTACGTTAATTTTTTTTTGAGAGTACATTAATGAAAGAGATGCCATGTAAGGTAGGGATAAATGGACCATATGAGGCATAATTCAGTAAAACTTGAGTCATGCTATCCCCCAAACACACACACGCACATAGAACTCAAAAGAAAGTGAAAAATCATTTCTCAAGGCATTGTTTACTAAAACAAAACTACATGATCAGATTATTTGCATTAGTTTACAGGAGAGAAAGATCCCCAGAAGGTATAGATCTCTTCATTAGCTTTGCCCATGACTCATTAGTTTCATTGATAATCTTCAAAGCATAATCCTGTTTGTCGTATCACATTTAAAAGCCAGAAGTTAAAAATAACCAATATTATAAAGAAAACGTAAAGCATCTGAAGTAGAAAGTTGCAAGGGGAGAAAATGAGACATATGGTTTTCCCCACGTGAGGTCAAAAATTTGTGATCGTTTTTAAAATTTTTGAGTATAAAAGGTTGTTAAGTTCCACTAGTACAGGAACAAGAGCAGTATAGCGAAATAAAAAACATTCAGTAGGAAGCCCTTTTTTGTTCCAACAAAGTTAGAACATTGAAAAACAAACAACAGTGTAACAAAATTGAGTCTACCTTGTTTGCTGCCTTGTTCCCAAGAGCAAACCTGTTAGCAGGTTTCCCATCTGGGATTTTGTAATCTCTGAACCAATCCCTAATTGCAACAAGAGTACCCTGTATAGATGGTGAGTTTAAGTGATATGTCAACTAATAAACTGAAAAAACACCAGGTTATAATTGATAGAAAGTTTCATGACAACATTCCAAACACATACCAAGAGGAAAACAAGAGGAAAGATATTAGTTTTAAGTAAAAAGAGTCAACATAATGTTACCAGCAAGGCATCTGTGGCTATTGACCTGGTGTAGATATTTTCTTGATTGAATATTGACATAATTAGTAATTTCAGAGTAAGTAGCGCAGACATGCTAAATTAATATATAACACAGAATCATATTCACGAGACATAAGCTTTCCTCTAACTAAAGCATTGCTAATAAATTACTAGGTGCAGCTTCAGATAACAGGACATACCGGAAAATGTTTCTCAACATCATCAACATCATTCACAAGTGAAGCTCTTGGATCATCCAAAGATATTGCAACTATTTTCCAATCAAGCTCCCCCTTATCAATCATAGCTAAAGCAGCTAGGGGCTTAACCTTGAGGATCTGACCAATCTTTCTTCGTCTCTCTCCAATCTCAACAACATCAACTAAAACTTCGGAAAACAATTAAAGACAATCAAAATCTGCTTTGTATTAAGAAAAGGCAAGGTTTCATGAACAAAACAAAGTGAATGCTAATATACCTGGGTCATTATCTCCTAGCGCTCCTTCAACTTTGGGGTTTGAAAATGATGGGTCTTCCCAAGTTTGAGGGAGTAATCCATAGTTCCAATGGATGTTGTAACTGACAAAAAATATTGAGAAAGAATAAAAATTTAATTTTCCTAAGGATTCCGTGGATAATAAGCTTTCACACGAGCATTACAAAACTCTTTGCTTGGCAAAGAACCATAATCCCGGTGATGAATAATTACTTCATAAATGCTACTCATATCAACATCTTGTTAGTATGCAAATCCAAAATTTTCCATCCACATCATAAATTCAACTAAATACCAGAAAAAGCAAAAACTCACGGATAGTATCTAAGTTTTCCCTTCTTTGTATCTTGCTTTATTGGAGTGTATAGCTCATCAGTAGCAACCTCCATTTTGGCACTAGTATCTTTGGGTATCTCAACAACAAAATTAAAAACTCCATCACCCAAATGCAATGGAATATCATGCCAAGGAGATACCTGCACAAAATTAATCAATCAGCTGAGCCCCCTAATCTCCATTTCAGTTTCCAATTCTAAACAAGAAAAAGCACACAACTTTTAACACCAACATCGAAATCCCAAACAAATACTCACAGCCCCAAATAAGAAAGAAACCATTTTTGACATGAAAGATGGAAGTGGGAACGAAAAAACCAGTGACCTTTTTGCCAGAGTGATCAACAAGAAAGACCCTGTAATCAAGGGTCTGAGGCTGTCCTTCCTCTTTGATTTGGACCTTTGGGTTATAGATAGCCCTGCAAGAATGGTAAAGTCTCCTTGGTGATCTAATGGTGATGTGGGAATAGTGGTGAAATGCTCCTGCTAAGGCTATAGCTCTGGCCACGGGAGCCATTTCTATGACTAAATTTATCCGCCACCGTTGCGTTTCTGGGGCTAACGGGGAGATATTGGAAACATCTCCCACTGATTTTATTATTTTTTCATTGGCTCCCTTGTATTTCTGAAACATTACAAGAAGGTCCGAGCTTTTTTCTCTTTTTAAAACAAATACATTAATTCCGGATTAGTGAAACAAATGATGTTAAAAAAATTTATACAAAAATTAATTTTATATATTAAATAGGAAAATTTAGAGTCAATAAGAAACTGAGGCTAAAGAATTCATAACAAAAAGGTTTTTACACATTTAAGTATTTGATTTATTAATTACTATATAATATTTTGTCTAAAAAATAAAATTCAAAATTTTTTCTTTAATTATAAGAAAATTATTTTTTTATGGAATAAATGTTAATAAGTAAAACAACAGGGAAAATAAAAGAAAATCGTAAAGTTTAGGGGGTTTTAAACAAATATTACACTACTCATTTATTTTCTTCACGTGTTCAATCAACTAACCTGAAATTCGATAGGAACCCAAAGCCACCCGGAGAACTAGAAATGAAGAAGGGAAAGCGCCAACGGTTGTTTTCCGCGGCTTCCGACAATACGGCTAACGAAGATTCTCAGTTCCTACTTCCCTGGTAAATTCCCAAATTTTAGCTCTGTTGTTTCTTTTTTACATTCAAGTTTTGGAAACTTAAAAAAGGAAAGAGCTTAATCTGGCAAAGCTCTATTCTCAAGGATCTAATCCTTTCCATGATTTTCATATTGAAATTGACCATTTATGCCTGTTTCTTGCTTGCAACCGAATTTTGGAGTGAGTATAGGCGAATGTATCCAATCTTTAGTCTTCTTTTTTCTCTCATTTTTGGTGCAATGAAATATGGGAGAAAATGGGTTACTAGTTCTGATTCTTGTAGTATCCAGCAATGCCTATGCTAAACCCTTTTGTTTTAGGTGAACATTTTGCAATGCTGGTAGTCTTTGATTCTTAGTGCATCCTAATAGAAGAAAATTGCTGGCCAATTATGATATGACATTCCTTTAGTGCATATGCTTCAAAGGGAAGACTCGGTTGATGTGTGGGAGGCTGCTACATATGCTGCACAATGGCCAGTTTTTGATGCTTCCTTCTATAATGGGTCAGTCGAGGTCAATTGTTAGATTTTGAACTTGATTTTGGGCTCACTCAAATCAATCAGACAGGGTAGGTTCATTAGAAACTTTTCTTTCTAGAGGAAAGAAATAGAGAATGCTGCTGGTGATGTAGAAAAATAAGAAAAATGATGTGCTAAATGAAGTGAATATGTGTTAAATTTGGAAAGCTGAACAAAGATCAAATTCTGAAAGATTTGAAAATCATGGGCCTTAAGACTAGCTGTTAATTTGAAGACTGGATAAAATAAGTAAGGTAGTCATAAAAGTTTACATTTGGCAGCCAACATGTATGGTAAATGACTGATTGCTGTAACTGTTCTAATGGTTCCACAATTATGGCACCTTTCTCACAGAAAATGAGATGCTTGTTCCCTTCTTGCATGGTGCTCTTTTTCTGTGTTGAAAGACATTTGTCAATTGCAAAGGTTTCTTTTGGATCTAAAATTTGATGATCAGAATTTTCATTCTAAAAAATCGACTTAAGATGTTGCAACTTATTAATCGACGTTAACCCTAGATATTTATAGCGTAACTGGATACTTGAAATTATCTTTGTTGATATATGGCATTTGTGACTAAACTCTATTTGGTTTACACTAAGGCCATACTGTTGATTCCACCGAAGCCGTTCCATTGATAGATGATGGTTTGGTTCTTAGATTTTGGGTCAGGGAAAGAAATGTAAATCTTCAGCTTCAAAACTTGTAGGTTCTTTGAATGATGATAGCAAGGACAATTGTGGTTGCAATGTGAATAGATCAGAAGAGCTTATAGAATACGAGTAATATGGTCACTATACATCCTCACTTTGGTAGATTTTTATCTCACGCTGGACAGATATCGAATCTATACCAATTTTGTTGCTAGTCAGAGTATTGTTTCTCTTACTTGTATCTGGAGGTTTTGAAATTTTAGGTTTGTGTGTCCAAGAGAGAGAGAGGAAGAGAGTGGGACATGACCTTTTATGTGTGTATGCATGTATAAGTTTAATTCAGCTCATTACTGCTCGACATTGAGTTACTGGCTTCAAACAACAGGAGTGAAATATGCTGTTTGAAAAGGTTTTTGCTCTGTGTTTAATGTATGAATCGTATCAACATCTAAATCTGTAACTATGTATGAAAGAATAAAGAAAATAAAAAATGAAAGCATTTTTTTCCCCAAAAAATTTCAAAAAAGTCCATATATTGTACGGAAATGGAGCTAGTTTCATTTTCTAACAACATACTTTGAACTGCCTCAAATAACAGATAATTTCCAGAAGCCAAACAACTCTCAAATTCCTTAGGCCATCATTGAGACCAAAAGATTAAAAGGTGACAGATGAATGTTTTATTTGAGTTCCTGTGAATCGAATCTAAAATGTGGTAAATAAGTGGCTGTACTAGCTTTGCAATTTTTACTTCTGTACATTGGGATATGTGCCTCTACTTCTTTGCATGACTTTTATGTGTTGTATGCCTTTTAGCAAGAGATGTTGGGCTAGTGGGTAGGAAATGTCAGTATTAAGCTTCCAGGCTAGTGGGTAGGAAATGTCAGTATTAAGCTTCCAGTACAGAGGTTCTTTGAATGATGATAATAACCTTTTAACAAGAGATGTTGGGCTAGTGGGTAGGAAATGTCAGTATTAAGCTTCCAGTGCAGAGGTTCTTTGAATGATGATAATAAAAACAATAAGTCCCTGTTGATCCAGAAAAATCAGAAGACTTGAAATGGTTACCAAGGTGAAATATAGGTGAAAAGTTACGAAGTAAGAGTGATTTTTCTCATCTGCTAGATTTTGAGATTGATGGATCAACTTGTCCATAAAATTTAGGTCCAGCTATCTGTGGGCTCAAGTTGATGCTCCTTCACAGGCCAAATATGTCTATTGTATAATAAGCTTGCAGCTGATGTCTACTTTGTTTCCTGGTCTCAAAGACAATGTATTGAGGCAGATTGCCTTAGCACCTTTAGGGAGGTTGGTCATATATCAGAAATTTATAGTAAGTGGACCAGGTTTGTTCCTGCTGTCTGGACTGTCTTTGAAATGTAAAAAGGATAATTGATGACTGATAAATATTGTATTTGGCTTCCTGTAGACAGCATGCAAATTGTAGTAAACAACTGGCTTTGAGTCATGTTTTTATTTCTGTACACCGCAGACCTGTTTTTTCATCTCTGCCTCTTGTCTGCTCCTCCCCCCATACCTCTTCTTTTCTCATCTCTCTAGGACCTGGTGTCACACTTGCTGCAACTATTTGTCGCATTGCATGCTCTATATCATGAGTTTTCTGAGTTGGGCCTAAAAAATGTGCTTATTATTCAGCTTCAAGGTCATAGGTTCTTTGAATGGAGATAGTAAAGACAATTCTAGTGGTCATGTGAAAAGGGGTAGAATTTTGAGTGAAAACCTGAGCTGTGAGTAAACTTCACAACTTGGTCTGACTTTCCCCCCTTAGCTAGATATATTGGGTTTATTATTGTTCTAGGCATGTAGCTGTGCAGCAATTTCTAATAGGTCTTTAATTTATCAATCTGGGTTACTTTGTCCATTCACCTGGATATAGCTGATCAATTAACCGAATCACTCTAGACTCGTCTGGATGAGAATGTTCTTTCCACCTTTCCCTCCCTCACCACCAGAGCTCCCTCTTTTATCCTTTTTCTTTCTACCAAATCAAATTGTATTTTTAATTATATTTTATGCTACTTTTTTTTACATATAATGAAAACGCTTATATTATCTCTAAATTTACCTAAATAAACTAAAAATAGTATTAAACATTTAAATACCGAAGAATTAAACCAATCCAAACTGATAAAATTTGATTTGGGTTGGTTCGTTAAGAAGGATTCAGTTTGGTGTTAGAAAAACCTGAATAATACAAGTTAATAAAAAATTTTATTCAAAACTGAACCAGACTGGATCATACGCACCCTGTAAAGTGCAAACCGTGATTTGTAACTTGTGAGGACAAGAATTCGAGTCAAATTTTGAATGTTTGAACTGACAATTGAGAGATTGCTACCAAGTTGCATTAGGTAAAGCCTTCGACGACATATTTGTTTTTCTCTTAAATTCATCCTCTAGGACAGCTACTTCTTGGATTAGCTAGACATAAGAAACACTATTTGAACATTCTTTGACTTTTGGAATTTTATGTCTTGTGTAAACTTCAAAGTTATTCATGTCATTCTCATCATATCTAAACAGCAGGAGGATGTCCTGATAATACAGCATGGTATTTGCACCAAGGGAAAGAATGAAAGTGATGCTCATATTTTAACTTTGAAGTTGAGTTTACTCTGATTCATTGTCCTAATTAGAAATGGTGCAGTCAATGAGACTTTCTGAGATTCTAGAAAAGAGTTCTTTGCTTCAAAATTCTAATAGGGATATTGCCTACCCGTGCATTTTTATGTAAAACAAACATGTCATTGTCTTGCAGACATTTCGTAATATTCAGTTTACATTGAACAGGTATTAGCAGGGAAAGAATGTCTGGATCATGTAGTACATTACCTCCATTCTCCAAAAACTGCTTTGAGGTTAAGATTTACGGAGTTTTGGGATGAAAAATATGCAAACACTTGTGACGGAAGAATTCTATCATTGATTTATTAGCAAAATGTCATTGTTTTCATACGAAACGTAACTATGATGATTGTAACTCAGAGATTTGAATATTATAAATGCAAACATCCATTTAGATTTCCATCATCTTCATAACTTTACAAGAATCGTCTTTCATCATGCTCAATAATGGATATATGTTTCTTGACTTCTATGCTACAAACTTGGAATTGTCTTGCTGCCCATAAATTGTTTGATAATAATTGCATTGTGTGTATGCTTTCGTGTTACTTATTGCTAAAGACCCTTGACTGAGAGTCTAAAGACCAAACCACCAAGTCATTGCACTTTACTTGAAGGAAGTTCTTGTCTGCATTCTGTAACCAAAGACATTAATGTTGTTGGATAACAACAAATGAAGTTGAACCGGATGCACTACCAACTAGTGGTGTTGATCAGAATGGACTTGCTTTCGAATTATTCATTGCCAAGACTCTTGCCCACCGGTCCAAATCTCTGTCATGTTCTTTGTTTAAAGTTTGACCGAGTCTCTTTTGACTGAAAACTCGAGAGTCATCAGCATAATCGTCAGCCATTACGCTCGAGGCTTAATCTTTTTGCAAACCCCACCCAAGAAGGCAATGTTAACAGGGCAAGTTTTAGTATCTTTGATTCCAAAGAGTTTATGGCTTGTTGGACACCATTTTCTCTCTCCCCCTCTCATTTATGGGTTGTTCAATTAAGAATGGAAGACATGGAAGTTGAAAACCACCTAAGCTCACATAGTCAAAACCCCATGAAAGAACTGGAAATGGGTTAAATTGTCAAAACACTAATGAATCATAAACAAACAAAAAAGGAAAAAAATATCAAACCACTAAGCTAAGATACTTTACAATAATCCAAAGCACACTTCAAAACATTTCTGCTACACCTTTTTTGCCCTATCCTCCACGTGTGTTTTAGCCAAGAGTTGATACAATTTCCTCTCTTTTCTTTTCTCAAATAAACAAAAAGGATTATCGTAAAGCCTAAGCACTCTTAATTGTAGTGGCAAAAGGCGTGGCTTATCTCTGATCATGAAGGGTGGCTGGTGATTGCTTTGTAATTGACTTTTCAGTAACAAATATATCATAAAAGTGAAAAGGTCGATTGACTTTGTGTGGCTTAGATATATATATATTTAGACAAAGAAAACAATGAGAACGGTCTATTGGGTGAGTAAGAAAACACAAAGTGTGGGGTCACTATACAAATATGTTTCTCCTTTTTTTTTTCTTTTATTAATTATGGGGACATTCCCAAAGTGAAAGGTCGGTTCGTATTTAGCTCTCTCCACAAAGTGACAAAGAAAGACTCTTACTTTTGTCAAACCTTCAAAAGAAAAAATGCCCAAGAAACTTGACAACCCCCTCCCTGCCCCTACAAATGACCATTCTTGTTTCCTCCTAGTGCTACCCAGGGCACCCCACAAGGAAATTGAAAGTCGTTTAGAACGTGTCGGTCCCTTAGTGCATGTGCCCTACGAGAAATATGCAAAATGGTCCAAACAGTTGCCAACATGCGATCCTTTGTACGGTCTAACTATAGGGGACCCTTTTGAACTTTGGAGGGGGAGGGAGAGGGGGAGGGGGAAAAAGGCCAAAACGCCACTTCCCACTGCCCTCACCACTGTCCCTGCGTGACCATTCTAATGCCACAGGATTGGCATCTTTGAACGAGTACAACATGATCCAATTTTCTTTTGAAAACTTCACTCATTCAGGTCAGCATGCTATGCTTTTGATGGCGAAGCCTGGTCATACACTACAATCGAATCGAACCCGGATTTTCCTCTCGCTAGAACAAATAAATAAACCAAATCCTTTTAGCTTTTTACACACATTCCTTGTCTCTAAAGAATGCTCTTCCCACGTTTTCGTCGCATTCATTATTCGCAAATCTTATGGATAAATTCTGGATAAGATATGTATAAATTCGTAATTCTTTTTTCTTGCGATGAAAACCTCATTTACATGAATATTCTCTAAATGCTTAATTTATCTAAATTGATTCAAATACTATATATTTAAAAACATGTCACATAGAAAATATGTAAATACTTTTCTCATCTCATATCTACAGTCTCCAATTTTGACTTTATAGAAAAATTTAAGAAATTTTAAGTTTAAATTTATACCAAGAAGGAATCATGGCACGCAATGACCAAAAGAACGATTAGCTAGGCTGCCTGCAATCCCAAGGCCTGAATGGCCTGCAGGGCATATACATATATATATGTATGTATATATATATATATATATTATGGACTATACGATGCAGAATTATTAGCACTTTAGGGAATTTGGCAACTGTAGGGGTAGCTGTGTATATGTAGGACATGGGGCATCAAATAATGTGGATCATCATTATAGGAAGAATAGTGATTGAATAAGTCAGCAAGTCACCCTGTTTTGAAGGCTTTTTTAGCCCAAAAGGGATGGCTTTCGGCCAGGGTCTGGTGGCATCAGAGTAGGGGTTTTCGAGCTTTTTTGACACAAACTCGAGGTCCTGGAAAAACACTTGCTGCGGTTAAAAGATAGTGGCCAGTGCGAGGCATAGCTTCCTTCCCTTTCATTCACTGATAAAAAGGGCGACAAGGGCCGACCACTCACCCCAGCTTCCGCCCAAAGATGGAGAGTGGGATCTTGAAAAGACGTTTTCAGAGGGGAAAAAATAGGCTGAATAGCACATATACCCCTTCGCCAGTTTTAGGTATTGTTGGGGCTTCAACCATCTTTTCAATTATTTATTACCACTTTATAAACATGATGTAAAGCAGTTCTTTAATCCTACTCTGATCGCCTCAGTTGTCAAATTCTTCGGTGCATTAACACTCCACACCACTATTTCAAGCAACTGGGGCGGTTGGATTTATATATTGGGTTTTTTTTCTTTCTTTTCCTCTTCTGTTCTCTTTCTTGTTTATATTCATTCTTTTTTAATTAATGAAATGGGATTCCCATGGCACATAAAGTTCAAGCAAAGTGGCTCGCGATGCGGGACACGTGTCAGCTTTCCAACGGCGAACTTGTCCAATAAGACTTTGAAAAGGACTTATAATGACACGTGGCATAAAAATATTCGATATAAAGTCCAGAATAATGTGCTGGAAAATGATGGCTTGATTGATATATCCCATAATGGGTGGCATTCTGAGCAGATTCCCCACATACCAAAAAGTTCATACACTTGTGGTATTATTCCTTTCTTTCCAAGGCCTCCTGTGGAAAATCTTCTCAAGTCTTTGTTTATTCAGACATAAAATTACAGTGCAAATTTTAGCTTATTTAGCAGTTAAAAGTGTCATGAGACCACCTAATGTGATTGGCCCTCCACCCTCTAGCTGGCCATGAATGAAACCTCTACTTTGCTCCAAAAAAGTTGGCTTTTCCTTCTCACTTTTGTACATAATTTGACTAGGCAATTAACTATGTATTAAACCAGTTCCATTAATAAATGCACTTTATTTGATAAAATATGAAGCACTTTCATAACTCGGCTGGAAACAAAAATTACCTAAGTTTAGGTGACCTACTCAAGTACTTAGGGGATAATTCTTGTTTATTGCTAGTGTTTATTTCCTCGACTTTGCGATAGAGTCATTGTCTTATAGTATATATTATCTATTAAACATCTTTAGATTTAAATTCTTTTAAATATAGTCACTATTTTCGTCTTGTAAATCTCATAAGATAGGATAATATATATGTGGAGAAAAGGAGATTCAAATCTTCTAACTGCATGATAAAAGATCGAAGCATGTAATGTGATTATGACCGGCTATTTTAATTTGCATTTTCAGGAAATATGAACATAAGTTTGAGAGGTCGGTCATGAGGGTTTAGTAATCATAGTGGGAAAAGCAGAAACTATGTGATAGTACATGAGTTGATAATTGTGTTGGTAATTGCTATAGACAAAATATCCGGTGGATTCATGATAATTTGAAAAAGAGAATATAAGTGGTACAGGTAGGGCTCTAATAGGGAAAGAAGGAGGAGGAGGGGAGGGGCTGCAATCTAGGGCTACATGGGACCCTAACAAAATTTGAGTACAATTAGTAGTAAAATGGGAAGGAGGAGGGGTTAGTTGTCCTGTTGGGGTGGGACTTTGATGGGGGACCAGATTCTATCCAAACTCAAGGTACATCAGTACCAATGTGCTCAACGACTGACCCATCCCAGGGTTTCAACTGCCAAAGCATCTTCTGCTATTTACTACATGGAAAAATACAATTTCTGTTTTACATCAACCCTATCTCCATCACTCTTACTCACTCTACTATACAAATCTTTTGACAGAATCAACTTGGCTTAATTGCATGCTGTCTTCTACTAATTAACATGTTTTTATATATTTTAGTAACAGATTTCAGATTCTGTATCACGGTAAAATGCAAGTTTGGTCAAGATAAATGTGGGAAATATATATATATATATATATATATATATATGAACTTAATAAGCTCTGCATGCATTCCATATTAAGCTCATATATTCTTTATTAGTTTAAGATGTAATGTATAAATTAAATCAAATCATAAAGATAATGAGGATGATATATTGCTTTATACTTCATACGACCAAAAAAGTCCAAAAGCTACAAACTTTTGGAATATTGATGATAAACAAAAGAAAAACAGTGCAGTGCAGCATAAGGGGTGTTGATGAATTGAATATTTTTTGAGGAAAAAATGGTATGCCACACGTTTTAAAGGCAATTCCTTACCACAGTTAGCATGTTATGGAGTAATACTAGGATAGCTAGGTAGGGATGGAGATATCAGAGAGTATATATTATGCCGATAAGAAGATAAAGGGAAAAGAAAAGGAAAGGTGGTAGGGAGGGAGAGGGAAAAAAAAAGGAATTTATATGAAAATACAACAATAAAAAAAAGTTGAATAAAATGAGATAACCTTACGTGTACCACTCAAAAGCAGCAATTGAGATGGAGCTTTTTCCGTGTTATCCTCTCTGTCTCTCTTCCCTGTGTTGCATGCACATGCTGTATGCATAAGAATGAATAAAAATCATTTGTTAAATGCTTACCCTTTTTCATTTTTGATAGAGTTTTATGATTTTTATTTTATTTTTGGGCGCTATGG